GTGGTTCTGGTATCATTCTTTACTCAGTGTGTACAGTATGTGTGTGCGTGCCTGTAAGAGAGTGTGTGTGTGTGTGTGGTTCTGGTATCAGTCAAACACACTGTCTTTACTCAGTGTGTGTGTGTGTGTGTTAGAAAGAGAGTGTCTGTGAAAGAGTATGTCACCGTCTTTTCTCATAGTGTGTATGTGAGAGACACTGCGTGTGTGTCTGTGTGTATGTGAGAGTGTGTATGTATGTGTGCATGTGAGTGTGTATGAGAATAAAAGCATATGTGTTTGTGTGAGTGTGTGTCTGTGTGTGAGAGCATGTGTATGTGTATGTGTGTGTGTGTGTGTGTGTGTGTGTGTGTCTGGTATCAGTCAAACACTCCATCTTTCCTTAGTGTGTATGAACAGTCAGGACTCCATTTCCCATCATGCATCATTTGGTGTGTGTTTATATGTGTGTGTGTGTGTGTGTGCGTGTGAGTGTGTATGTGTGTGTGAGAGAGAGAGAATAAGAGTGCATATAAGCATGTGTTGTTGTTGTTGTTGTGTGTGTGTGTGTGTGTGTGTGTGTGTGTAAGAATGAGAGTGTGTATGAGTCTGTCTGTCCATGTGCATGTATGTGAGTGCGTGAGAGAGAGAGAGTGTGTGTGTGTGTGTGTGTTTCTAGTATTAGTCACATATTTCCTCAGTGTGGATGAACAGTCAGGACTCAATTTCCCATCATGCATCATTTGGTGAAGCTGCAGTGTGTGTCCAGTGTGTGTGTGTGTGTGTGTTAGCTCTTGATTGCGCGCAGTTTCCTCCTGAAGTACTCTGGCGCGGCCTCGTGCAGCCAGTCAGTCTGTATGAGACACAGATCCCGCATGTAGCAGCGTGACGTGTGCAGCAGCTCGTTGAACAACACACACACCGGCCGCGCCTGGAACAGCACAGAGGACGGGTGTATGCTGACGGGCTGGTGTGTGTCCAGAGCCACGTATGATCCGTCCGGCTGCAGTTCTGCTGCGCTCATGAACAAACCGTGAGCGAGACAGCGGCGCACATTCGCCAGATCACACACCGACGACTCCAGCTTCAGGTTCATCTGAGGAACAACAACAACAACAACAACAACACTGTTTACTTATAAAACACACTTGAAGTCTGCATCAACAGGAAGCTGCCACTGTTTTGTTCTGTGTTGTGAAGTAGTTCCAGTGAGTATGTGTGTGTACCTTGATACAGATGTCTCTGAGCTGAGCTCGAACCTCTCCCACCAGCCCCATGTTCCTGCTGTTCACAAAGTTCTCTCGACACCAGTCCTGCCGTAAAGTAGGAGAATAAACACAGATGAAGAGAACATTTCCCCACACAGCAAACACACACACACACACGCACACACACACCCTAACAAATTCCCAATTTTGAATGATTTAGAAACTATATACTTATACACTATACACTATGCACTTATACACTAGTGCCCTTATACACTATACACTAATAGACTGTTGCACTTATACACTATGCACTTATATTCTTTGCACTGTACTTATTCACTATACACTATGCACTTATACATTATGCACTATACGCTGAAGCCCTATGCACTTAAACACTTGAGCACTTTGCGCTGTTATGCACTTATGCACCTAAGCACTATGCACTTAAACACTTGTGCACTTCAACACTTGTGCACTATGTACTGTTACGCACTTATGCACCTAAGTACTATGCACTTAAACACTTGTGCACTGTTACGCACTTATGCACCTAAGTACTATGCACTTAAACACTTGTGCACTGTTACGCACTTATGCACCTAAGTACTATGCACTTAAACAATTGTGCACTGTTACGCACTTATGCACCTAAGTACTATGCACTTAAACACTTGTGCACTGTTACGCACTTATGCACCTAAGTACTATGCACTTAAACAATTGTGCACTGTTACGCACTTATGCACCTAAGTACTATGCACTTAAACACTTGTGCACTGTTACGCACTTATGCACCTAAGTACTATGCACTTAAACACTTGTGCACTGTTACGCACTTATGCACCTAAGTACTATGCACTTAAACACTTGTGCACTGTTACGCACTTATGCACCTAAGCACTTAAACACTTGTGCACTTAAACACTTGTGCACTATACACTGTTACGCACTTGTGCACTTTAACACGTGTGTACTATGCTACTCACTTATGCAACATGTGTTTATGCACCTAAGCACTATGCACTTAAACACTTGTGCACTTAAACACTTGTGCAATATACACTGTTACGCACTTGTGTACTTAAACACGGGTGTACTATGCTATTCACTTATGCAACATGCGTTTATGCATCTAAGCACTATGCACTTAAACACTAGTGCACTTCAACACTTGTGCACTATATACTATGTTATGCACTTAAACACTAGTGCACTATGTACTATGTTATGCAACGTGTACTTATACACCTTAGTACTATATACTTATGCACTTAAACACTTGTGCACTTAAACACTTGTGCACTGTTCTGTTATGCACTTGTGCACTTAAACACTTGTGCACTTAAACACTTGTGCACTATACACTGTTACGCACTTGTGCACTTAAACACGGGTGTACTATGCTATTCACCTATGCAACATGCGTTTATGCATCTAAGCACTATGCACTTAAACACTAGTGCACTTCAACACTTGTGCACTATATACTATGTTACGCACTTAAACAATAGTGCACTTCAACACTTGTGCACTATGTACTATGTTATGCAACGTGTACTTATACACCTTAGTACTATATACTTATGCACTTAAACACTTGTGCACTTAAACACTTGTGCACTGTTCTGTTACGCACTTGTGCACTTAAACACTTGTGCACTGTTACGCACTTATGCACCTAAGCACTATGCACTTAAACACTTGTGCACTATACACTGTTACGCACTTGTGCACGTAAACACTTACACACGTGTGTACTGTTTTTCACTTATGCAACATGCATTTATGCACCTAAGCACTATGCACTTAAACACTTGTGCACAATGTACTATGTTATGCACTTATGCAACATGCACTTAATCACCTAAGCACTATATACTTATGCACTTAAACATTTACGCACTTAAACACTTGTGCACTTCAAAAGTTGTGCACTATACACTGTTACGCACTTGTGCACTTAAACACTTGTGCACTATGTACTGTTACGCACTTATGCATCTAAGCACTAAAAACTTATGCACTTAAACATTTATACACTTAAACACTTGTGCACTTACACACTTGAGCACTTACACACGTGTGTACTATGTTATATATTCACTCATGCAACATGCATTTATGCACCTAAACACTATGCACTTAAACATTTGTGCACTATGTACTATGTTTTGCACTTATTCACCCAAGCACTATATACTTAGCACTTAAACATTTATGCACTTCAACAATTGTGCACTTCAACACTTGTGCACTATACCCTATGTTACGCACATGTGCACTTCAACACTTGTGCGCTATGTCCTGTTACACACTTATGCACCTAAGCCCTATGCACTTAAACACTTGTGCACTTCAACACTTGTGCACTATACGCTGTTACGCACTTTGGCACTTAAACACTTGTGCACTATGTACTATGTTATGCACTTATTCACCAAAGCACTATATACTTATGCACTTAAACATTTATGCACTTAAACACTTGTGCACTATACACAGTGTTACGCACTTGTGCACTTAAACAATTGTGCACCATGTACTGTTACGCACTTATGCACCTAAGCACTATGCACTAAAACACTTGTGCACTATACACTATGTTATGCACTTATGCTACATGCACTAATGCACCTAAGCACTATGCACTTAAACACTTGTGCACTATGTTATGCAATTATGCTACATGCACTAATGCACCTAAGCACTATGCACTTAAACACTTGTGCACTATGTTACGCACTTATGCTACATGCACGTATGCACCTAAGCACTATGCACTTAAACACTATATAATTATGCACTTAAACACTTACGCACTGACTCATGCATTTACTTATGCACTTAAACACGCACTTACACACTTATGCACTATGCACATAAACACTTATGCACTTACGCACTTAACCACTTACAAGCTTATGCACTATGCACTTAAATACTTGTACACTTACACACTTAAACACACTCTTATGCACTTACACACTTATGCACTACACACGTAAACAATTATGCACTTAAACATTTAAACACTTACACACTTGTGCACTTAAACACTTATGCACTTACGCACTTATGCACTACACACTGATGCACTACACACTTAAACAATTATGCACTTACACATTTAAACACTTACCCACTTACACTTGTGCACTTAAAACACTTATGCACTTACACACTTATGCACTACACACTTAAACAATTATGCACTTACTAGGGCTGTAACGATACACGATATAAAATCGAAATCGCAACACTCAGATCTACGATCCTGTGTCGCGGTGTGATAAGGGAGAATCACGACACACCCCGTGACTACCTTTCCAATAACGTCACGCGTGCCTGCAAAAGTTGAGCTAATTAACACTTTTTTTCGTTCGACATTACAAGCACTGCTCCGTTTAAGCCCTCCAATATTTAGCCGGGAGAGCTCGCACGGAGCTCTTAGTAAAAGACCGTCTGAATGTGTCAAGAATATCAAAAACAAAACCAACTTAACCCCGCTTGACAACCGACAAAGGCAGAAACATTGCCAATGCTGTCAAAGCGGCCGGATTTTCAGCGCATATACGATGATTTGCTCACACTGTTAATGTGGCTGCGCAGAGAGGGATGGGCGTTCACCAGATGTGAGGTAACAGCGCAAACTTTTCTGTAACCGTGCTGTGCGCTTTCTGTTTGAACCTTTGAGAGTGCTGACTGACAGGTGCGCGATGGGTGAGGTCAGAAAACACGACGAAGCTTTCAGTTAAGATGAACACAGTTTCTATAGTTATACTTTATTTAGAGATAAAGTATGACTCTGCATATAATCACTCTATCTTGCTGGAGTTTATAGCCGTTTCGCTTTACTTCAGGACACATTAATGCCGCTCTGAAGGTCTAATCGTTGTTTTAAGTTATCCAGAGCTGTATGAATATACATATCTTGAATATCACAATAGTATTAAATATTACAATTGTAACAACACAGACAGCAACACTTTTGCACAATCAATACCCAGCTGATTCAGTCGCTTCATAAGAGGACCGCGCCTCTTCTTTTTTCCTTGTCAACAAAGGCAGTGAGGTGCGCCTCGTTTTCGGCCCCTTGTTTAACTGCAAGGCATACTTAATTTGCGGGACGATAACGGTTAACCCGTGCCTACAGACACATTTGCCAAAGAAGCAAAATGGAAGAATATTGCTGTTTGATACAGACGTGTTGATGCTTAACCAGCGCTTATGTTGACCTGGATCTGCGTAATAAACGCAACAAATAGGCTTTACTTTTTATTTTACAGCTTAAAGCATGTACGCAGATTAATGCAATATCATATTTAAACAACAAAACTGTTTACAAAAAGTCTACATATGTGCGCGTTGTTGCTGTCTTTTCATTACGCAGCGCGCACTTAACCGCGAGGGAGAGAAAGGAAACCATAGGCTATATCAGGACATATTCTTTAAAATAATGATTTCTATTAAAAATGTAAAAGGTTTTGTGATTATAATAATAACAGCGGGGCATTAAATAAATGCATATTTTCCTTGAAGCGGGCAATTTGAGGAAGTCAGCTATTTTTATTTGACGGAAGAAAAAAACATATGATTGGAAAAAAAGCCTATGCCGGTTATTAAAAAGAATCAGTCAGTATTTTCGTTTTGTAATATAAATTAATTATTTAAGTGAAAATAATTTAGGGCAGTCCTATTTATTTTATTCATTTTATTTAGATTATTCTGCTCTTCTGCGCTAAACACTGCAGGTGCGTGAAGATGCTCTGTTGTTCTGTTCCGCTATTAATATGCTAACATATAAAAATAAATCAGTATTTTAAAATGCAATATTTAATGTGTCAGACACAAAATAGACACGTCAATTTGTTTAATATAAAATTAATAGTAATCTGACCAGTTCACCGGTAATAACCGATTAATGAGCGGCGTTTGTCGGTTAGCAAAATTAACCGAAATGAGCATCCCTAGTAGCCATTTAATTTACTTTTTCTATGTAAGAGAACTTGATTGAAAAATAATTTTCAACATGCTTGAACCATCTAAACAATGCAGTTTAGTTCTGTTTGGTTTTTCGACAGTATTTTGTTACAAAGAAAACAGAAGTGATATAGCTTTGGCTATTTATTTATTTTATATATGGCTATTTATATTGTTAATAATTTGCATAGTTAATATTGTTCTTTGATGTTTAGTTTCTAAAGATTTTTCAAATGTTATTTAATAAAAAATAGTTTTAAAAATCTTTTTTTCCCACCCTACACGAAAAAAAAAAAAATCGTGATACGAACCGAATCGTGGGTTTGGTGTATCGTTACAGCCCTAGCACTTACACATTTAAACACGTACGCACCTACACACTTGTGCACTTAAACACTTATGCACTTACACACTTATGCACTACACACGTAAACAATTATGCACTTAAACATTTAAACACTTACACACTTGTGCACTTAAACACTTATGCACTTACGCACTTATGCACTACACACTGATGCACTACACACTTAAACAATTATGCACTTACACATTTAAACACTTACCCACTTACACTTGTGCACTTAAAACACTTATGCACTTACACACTTATGCACTACACACTTAAACAATTATGCACTTACACATTTAAACACTTATGCACTTACACACTTATGCACTTAAACACTTATGAACTATGTTAAGCACTTATGCACCAAAGCACTATACACTTAAACACTATTCACTTATGCACATTTACACTTATGAACTTGAACACTTGTGCATTTATACACCATAAATTTAGCACCAAATAGCTCCTCCCATTAACCAATAGCTACTCCCATTTATAAATAGCCCCTCCCTTTCCACTCAAAGCGTTGCTTGCATTAAGTGTTCAGCATTACACATTCACGTTTAACACCAGAATAAGTGCATCATCCGGGAATGTAAAGTGCACTTATTTATTTATTTTATTAATTTTCAGAGTGAATGCACTACTTACACTATGAAATGGCGTATAACAGTGCATGATATGCGATGCATCTAATGTCAAACGTAGACCTGCGCACCTTGTTCCCGCTGACTTTCTTGAAGGCCCTGTAGATGTTGAGGAGAGTGATGTGGTCGCCTTCGCTGGAGATGAACTTCTTGCGGACGGAGATGACCTCGTCTCTGCGGGCCGGAGGATTGTAGAGCACAGAGTCCACAGACAGCAGAGAGATGATGGTCAGAATCTCCTCAGTGCAGGAGAAATCGGGAGAGATCAGGAGAGTCTGCGCACATAGAGGAGAGTCAGATTAAAGTACACATGGCATCAAATTCACCATATTGATTTTGTCAGCTCACATTGCTATTTTTTTTGCTGAACATTTCAACTGTGCATGTCATTAAGCAAAAAATAAGTTCTTTGCCCTCGTAATTTTAAATTGAAATCTGAAAATGCACTTCAGTTTTCAGCCTAATTCTCAGATTAGGTCTGTCTGAGGTATTGGGAGGGGCTAACATACTTAACCACGCCCATCCAGCTGTCATCGCTATGACATCAAACAGAAATGAGGAGGAGGAGGAGTCTGTTAGGTTGTAATAAAGCTGCGGTCACACTAGTGTTTGTGTGTGTGAAATTCTGTTGTACGGCACTGTGGAAAGGGGGGTAATCAAGATTATTAGGCATTAAAAAAAGCCAGCGATTGCTCCATGTTTTAAATTTCTGTCCAGAGAGGTCATGTTTTGATCCTCGATTGGTCTCACGCAGTCAAGTGATGCGTCTTCGCAGGTCAGAGTTCACCAAGCTTGAACTTTGCACCGCAGCAACCTGCGAAACCTGACGCATGACCCTGCGTTTCCGGTCTGACGCATTTGCGAGCGTATGAATGGAAGTCTATGGGAGGAAAAGCCCAGTGTGACAGCAGCTTTACTCTCCACAAACCCTTTACCCCATCTTTTCTGAATGAAACGCCTACTTTACTACAGCCAATCAGCTCACAGTAGAAAAAACAAGCCACGCCCACTGCTTTTTCATTCAATATTCCATTTCTCTAGGGGCTGCGTCACAATACAGAAAAGAAAAACAATCACAGCTTCCGGTTCATGCAGATATCAAAACTTGAACTGTTAGTTTGCTATGAGGGAATGATGTGCAAAGAGAAAGCCCCGCCCCTACTCAATATTCTGTTTTAACAAATGTGCTTAAACTAATGTGCTTTGTGTTAAAGAGCCCCTGTTATGGGTTTTTGAAAATTCCCCTCCATGTAGTGTGTAACACAGCTCTAAGTGAAGTGAAGTATCCAGCTAAGGCTTAAATCTGTTAGTGTACAGTGTTTAAAAAGGTTGATTCATCTATAAAAGAGTCGACTCATAGTGCTTCAAACGAGTCGCCTTGATACCGATTCATTAGGTGTTTCGCCATGACGTACGAACGAAACCAAGTTATTCACGTGCACGCGCAAACCCGGGAGATTTCAAACCTGAGGCCCCGCCCTCTGACATAGAAACCCAGACACACACACACACACACACACACACCCACAAACATGCCGGTCGATTGAAGTCACACTGCAGATGGATATTATTGAGTCTCTACCCAAAGATGAAACCTCAGTTGGAAACTTCTGGAAGCTACATGCTACAAAGAATACTTCATCGGCGTTTGTTAAAGGAAGGATCAGTAAAGAGTAACTTACTGCTGGACATGTCAGGATGGGTTTCTTCCTCCATTTCTCAAGTGTAAGTACGTGCGATTAAAGTTGCCTCGTTGACTCTAGCTTGCAAATTATTTAGTTGTGATTTGTTTCTTGTAACCGCGTGTACTGTATCAGGTTAACTCGCTTTATTCTCATATCGGGTGCAAAGTCACGTTAAAAATGTGACGTGTGCTGCTTTGTTAACAGAGCTCCGTGGAGGAGGGTAGCGTGTGTATGTGTGTGTGTGTGTGTGCGTGCGCGCGTCGTCCTGAGCGCGCGCAAGGACGTGGGCAATATGTATGTGAGTCTGTGAAAAGAGCAGAGTGAGAAGCTAGGAGATCTCCTCAACTGTTTTTGGAGTTTTTGCTCGATAAAATAGTCGTCGGTATTTACAAGTCTATCGTCTGTATTTACATTGACCCACTGGCAGCTAAAATCCACGCCTACACTATCGAGCGTGTATGAACTGTGATTACTTTTATATTGCTGATTAGCTGTTGGGCATTTCACTCTCTCTGAACGCAGTCGACCAATCACAACAGACTGTCATTGGTCCAATCAGCGCAGATTAGCTTCGCGCTAAGGAGGGGTTTGGGAACAAATGAATCACTGGACGATTCATACGGGAGTCGCTGGGATAATTAGGTAAAATAAATGCAGATTATAAGACCACGAAAGTGTTTTTTGACCTTGCATAAATATTAGACTGTTGTTGGAGACCCTTACAACCAAGATATGACCCTATTTCATGTATAATATGGGCTCTTTAAAGAACAACAAAAAAACAACAACTGACTTTAGACCAATTTTTAGTCGCGCCTTAAAGGGTCACAAAACATCAGAACACATGTGTTGAGCTGTTGACAGTGGTATATGTGTCCCACGCTGCTATAAACACTATTAGGACACCTATATCTCACTAAAAAGTGAAAATTGGTAGTTTTTGCGTTATTTCAAGCAAATTCATGCTTCCAGTCTAAAATGAATTTTTGAAGCTGCGTCACGGCCATGAGATCTTAGCGTGTATTCCAGCATGTAGACTGGACACGTGTACCTGGGAGTCCCGTATTACGTCTCTGAGTGTGCTGCATTCATTCATGAGTATGGCTTGGTTCAAACCAATCAGCGCGCTCCATTATGAATGCGCTGCAACTTCATTAATATGCATGCTAGCTTTCTTAGACTGTACCTGAAACAGTGTTCAGACGGCAGAGAGACGACACACGTCATGTTGCCGAAAGTTGTGGGAAAAGAATAAGAATTGTTTGGAGATACGGGTCGCCAGTGTTGCTTTCATCATGTGAAGGTTTTGTTTCATTTTCTCTCTATGATACGCTGCTGGACTCGCGTGTGGATCAGTGCTCGCGACACGAGAGCTTTTCTCATCAATAGTGAGATCCGGATTTGCTGCTCGTCTCCTTTAAAAAAGACGCAGCTCCAGTATGTGCTGATTGTCCTGTCTACAGATTCGGTACGTGTGTGCGATCAGCGCCCTTTCTTTGTTCATTCAGATGGCAAAGGTATAGTTGGTATGGTCAGCTGTACTCTTTCAGTGTTTAAAGACAGACCTTAGTCAAAATGATTTCTAAGTTACTCAGTTTACAGTACGTTAATATCACTGCGATATTGAAAGATCCGCTGTAAATGCTGCTCTCTGTGTGTAAACACGTGAACACTGTAAGCAAACTTTTGCCGACCGTTGTGTTGAAATGTCGCCGCATTTTGTGACAGGATAGTCCCCACACACACGGCTTTCTGACCTCCTGAGTGCATCTGAGTTACAGAGAAATGCAGAGGCTTTTTCTCTTAAAGGACGTGCGGTATCTAACATTTCACCCTCATTAAACACACTGTCTTTCTGCGTGTGTGTTTGTGTGTGTGTGTTTGTTTTTCCTCTGTCCTCAGTGCGTGCCCAAATGGCAACTCCCATTTTTATTCAAACCCTGCCCATTTTCCCTCCCCCGACACTCCCACCCAAACAGAGCTAGACACGCCCACTTTCCTGACTTTTTTCCAAACTAGAGGTGTGAAAACACCCTGCTGAAACGAGGGGGGGGGGGGGGTCATGGCCCTTTAAAGTCTTATTGGAACACGCCCGTCTTATAGTTAGTTTGCTATGATGCACAAAAAATAAGCTCCGCCCCTACTTAATATTCAGTTTGAGTTGGACGTGTATCAACATACTGAATGAAAAGTCTCTGCTGCTGCTGGTTCCTGCAGACTCTAGGTGTTTCTTACTTTAGAGAATCGAGGCTCCAGAGGGAAACAGGCCATTTTCTTGCCCAGCGGCGTTAAAGAAACATGATCATCTTTCCTGTCGACGGCTCCGAGGATACAGAGCTGCTCCACTGCCGTCCGCATCGACTCTGACGCAGGAAACAAACAAGCAATTATTCCCATACAACATACAGCAGCATCACAAAGGTTACAATGCAAAGGGGTAGTTCAGCCAAAAATGCAAATCCAGCATCATTTACTTGTTCAAAACCTTTCTTTATTCTGCTGAACACAAAAGAAGATTTAAAAAAAAATGTTGGAAACCTGTAACCATTGACTTCAATAGTATTTGTCTGTCCTACTATGGAAGTCAATGGTTACAGGTTTTAGCCCTTTCTAAATATCATCTTTTGCGTTCAGAATAACGCACTCCCACTTAATCTAACACTCCACAGAATAAAGAAACTTGTACACCACTTGAGGAAGAATAAATAGTGAAACATTCAACATTTTTAGGTGAACTATCCCTTCTAATGAAGCAGTGCATTGATCTGGTATGTATAACGATGTGTTTTGAGTCTCACCAGGCGACGGTTTGGACACAAAATCAAAGTTGAGGACGTCAGGAACACCCAGAGCCAGGAGCTGCAGGACCACACTGGCCAGATTACACCTGCAGACACACAGAGAATACAGCTGACAAACACAGCTGCATACAGCCTGCGGGACCCTACACAATTCAACACCATTACAATGTTAAACCCTTTAAAGCTGTGTTCACACCAGACGCGGAAAGTGCTTTTCGCGCGTAAATTGCTGCTTGACCATTTGAGGTTACTCGCTTCATTCGCGCATCAAATCCGCTTCATTCGCGTGTCAAATTCACTTCAGAACAGACGCTGATTCACTTGATCCTCAGGGCTTCTGTCTGCTCGGTGACTGTAGCTTCATTGCTAAATGGCTAACTTGGATTTAATGAAGAAAATAACAGTGTTTATGTGCTTTATGAAGGCTGAAAAACAGCATCGATACGTTTAGGGTCCTGTCTGAGTCCACTACATGCTTTCAGAGGTGCATCCAGCTCTGTGAGGTCATAAACTCCTCCAGAACTGAACCTGGATGACGAAGACTTTCAGCGGTGCTTCTGACTGAGCCCAGCCCAGTTTGATGAATTCCTTGTCGGTGTCGGCTGGAGGATTTGCCCCAGAACACTGACAACAGGAGATACATCACAATCACACCCCCACAAGAGCAAGCTCCTGATTGGTTAACGCGGCGCGAATGTCTGCTGAAGTTCAGACTTTCGAACTCGTGAGATTCGCGCGAAACGCTCGTCAAACGCTCAATTCGCGCCGCGCTATTCACGCGTATCGTGCTTTTCGCACCGTGCAATTTGCGTCATTCGCGCTGCGCCATTCGCGCGTATCGCGCC